TGTGTGGCCGCCGTTATAGTCCCAGCTACACGGAGGCTGAGCAGGAGAATGGCATAAACTCGGGAGGCAAGAGCTTGCAGTGAGTGGAGATCGCACCACTGCATTCCAGCCTGGCCGACAGAACGAGACCTCCGTCTCAAAAAAAAAAAAAAAAAAAAAATCTGGGTGTGAATTGGCACTCTTCAGTATAAAAAAAAAAAATTTAAGTAAGATCCAAATAGAAAGCTAAGGCAGGCCAGGCATGGTGGCTCACACCTGTAATCCCAGCACTTTGGGAGGCCGAGGTGGGCAGATTGCCCCGAGATCAGTAATTTGAGACCAGCCTACCCAACATGGGAGGCAAAACCCTGTCTCTACTAGAAATACAAAAATTAGTTGGGGGTGGTGGCATGCGCCTGTACTCCCACAGCTACTTGGGAGGCTGCAGCGGGATGATTGCTTGAACCGGGAAGGTGAGGTTGCAGTGAACTGAGATCGTGCCACTGCACTCCAGCCTGGGCAACAGAGTAAGATTCAGTCTCAAAGAAAGCTAAGGCAATGCTGGGCGCAGTGGCTCACGCCTGTAATCCCAGCACTTTAGGAGAGCGAGGCAGGTGGATCACTTGAGGTCAGGAGTTCGAGACCAGCCTGACCAAGATGGCGAAACCCCGTCTCTACTAAAAATACAAAAATTAGCCAGGCATAGTGGTGCATGCCTGTAATCTCAACTACTCAGGAAGCTGAGGCACGAGAATCACTTGAATCTGGGAAGTGGAGGTTGCAGTGAACCAAAATCGCACCACTGCACCCCAGCCTGGGCGACAGAGTGAGACTCCGTCACAAAAAAAAAAAAAAAAAGAAAACTAAGGCACAAGCATGAGTCATAAAATAACAACTGGTTAATAAGAAAGATTTTCAATACTTGTAATTTTTAACAAATAAAAACAAAGTACTTTTGCCTATCAGATAAATAAATATGAAAAAATGATATAAACAGTGCTGGTCAAATTTTAGTGAAATAAGTTCTTTCACACATTGTTGCTGAAACTATTAACATATGCAACAAAAGCAGTCTGAAACATAAAAAATTCTATGCACAGTTGTGTAGTTAAAGTCACAAAAAATTAGAAATAAATCCAAATGTTCACAAAAAAGTAATTCAGAATGATGGAACCTTCTTTGGCAGTTAAATTTCATATTATAAAGGGTTTTCAGTAACATGGGAAAATGCTTCCAACAAATCATTGGGTTAAAAAAAAAAGTATAATTTTTTTTTTCCATTTTTAGAGACAGAGTTTCACTCTGTCTCCCAGGGTGGAGTGCAGTGGCACAATCATGGCTCACTGTAGCCTCGAACTCCTGGGTTCAAGTGAGCCTCCTGCTTCAGCCTCCCAAGTAGCCAGGACTACAGGAGCACACCACCACACTCAGCTAACTTTTTTGTAGAGACAGGTCTTGTTATGTTGCCAAGGCTGGTCTCAAACTCCTGGCCACAAGTGATCCTACCTCCTTAACCTCTCAAAGTGCTAAGATTATAGACATGAGCCACCACGCTTGACCTATAGCATAAATTATATAGCTATCCTACTTTAAAGCTTGTGAGGCAAATAAATAAAAATAAGGCAAAGTAAAAGTGGGAGAGAGTGAAGAATATGTCAACCTGGGCTGTCTTAGAGTCTTGGAGTAGTGCAATGGGGGAATTTTTTTCTTCTGCTTTATCTCTGTATTGTTCAATTTTTCTACAATTATTGTAACATTTCTACAATATTACTTTTTTTTTTTTTTGGCGACAGTGTCTTGCTCTACTGCCCAGGCTTGTCTTGCTCCACTGCCCGGGCTGGAGTGCAGTGGCATGATCTTGGCTCACTGCAACCTCTGCTTCCAGGGTTCAAGCGATTCTCTTGCCTCAGTCTCTGGAGTAGCTGGGATTACAGGCACTCACCATCATGCTGGGCTAATATTTTTGTATTTTTAGTAGAGACAGGGTTTCACTATGTTGGCTAGGCTAGTCTCGAACTCCTGACCTCAAGTGATTTGCCCGCCTTGACCTCCCAAAGTGCTGGGATTACAGTTGTGAGCCACCACACCCAGACCAACAATGAGCACATACTACTTTTGTAATGAGAAAACCAGTTCAATAGTAAAACTACAAAATGAAATCGGTTTTTCTAGCTACATCACATACAGGGAACAGGCATAGTTATAATTTCCCCAGGAAAAGAATTACACTAAGCCAGAGATGTCAAGAGATATAAATACACACATTCCATACATTTTTAAAAAATTGGTTTAAAAAACTCTGACTTGTACCACATTAAAAGCAAATGCTACATAGTCTGCCACCATGCGTGGCTAAATTTTTTTTTATTTTTAGTAGAGACGGGGTTTCACTGTGTTAGCCAGGATGGTCTCGATCTCCTGACCTTGTGATCCACCCGCCTTGGCCTCCCAAAGTGCTGGGATTACAGGCGTGAGCCACTATGCCCAGCCCAAGAGCTTTTAAATAAGGAGGGAAAGGTAATTCCTAGGTACCACAAAAAAAAATAGGATTGTTAAAAGCTACAGACATCGAGTTCCCTAGGAAAAAATTAGAAGATCAGCTGGTGAATTCTGTCTTAGGGGACAGATGAAGGTAAATTCAGCAAAATGTGAATTAAAACTCAGTGGGGGCTGGGCACAGTGGCTCATGCCTGTAATCCTAGCACTTTGGAAGGCCAAGGCGGGCAGACTGCCTGAGCTCAGAAGTTCAAGACCAGCCTGGGCAACACGGTAAATCTCCATCTCTACTAAAAATACAAAAACTAACAGGGTGTGGTGGTATAGCTACTCGGGAGGCTGAGGCGGGAGACTCGCTTGAACCCGGGAGGCAGAGATTGCAGTGAGCCAAGATTGCGCCATTCTACTCCAGCCTGGGCAACAGAGCTCGTGCCTGTAATCCCAGCACTTTGAGAGGCCGAGGTGGGCGCACGATTGCACCTTGTGAGGTCAGGAGTTCAGACGAATCGCCCTGGCCACCATAGTGAAACCCCGTCTCTTCCCAAGAATACAAAAATTACGGGCATGGCATGGTGGCAGCAACGCCTGTAATCCCAGCTCACTCGCGAAAGGCTGAGCAGGAGGAATTGCTGTGAACCTGGAGAGGTGGAGGTGCGTGGAAGCCGAAGATCACGCCACTGCCTGCCACTCCAGCAGACGCGGCTGCACAACAGGAGTGAGATCCAATCTCACAAAAAAGAAAGAAAGAAAAAGAAAGGCAATGGGATCGTTGTGGCCACTGCTCATGAGGACTAGACGTGCACCACATTTTTATTGGGTCTCTAGGACTTAAAGGACACTGAGAAAATAGTTTATGACTGATATATTTCTTAGGATAAACTAAAATAACCATCAACATAATTGGTACTGTGTCTAGTTGTTGTTGATGTTATATAATGTTAACTCCCATCTGTTCGTGGAATGTATGTCTTTACCTGAGGGGTCACATGCCATAGTCACAGACAGGATTAAAAGTTAGCTTTAATCATATGATTAGCCATGGGATTGGAACAAAAAAAAAGTTATTTTATGAAAGGTTATATACAGGTAGGCCTCGATGCTATAGTGAGGAAAAGCTTGGCGTTAAGATAAATGAAACGACGGGTGGGCAGGAATCCAACGGATCAGTAGGAAGATCGAGGGACCATTCCTGGCTACTAAATACAAAATAAAAAACTTAGCCGGGCGTACGAAGTGGAGCGGTGCGCCGGATCCCCGTACTCGGTGAGGCTGAGGCAGCAGAATGGCGGGAGCTCAGGGAGGCGGGAGTTGCGTGGAGCCAAGATCGCACCCCTGCACTCCAGCCCGGGTGACAGTGAGACTCCGTCTCAAAAAAAAAAAAAAAAGAGCTAGGTTTAGGCCTTAACTTCATCAATTACTGGATAATCCACTGTTTCCCCATAAGCAAAATGTATATAGCTGAGATACTCCTTTGCAGGACTGGCAGGATGACCAATGAGAAAATATATAAAAGCCTTCTGGAAATGGTCAGGTAGTTTTTATTTCAACAATAAAAATAATATCTATACCCACATTTAAGAAAGGCTGTACCTTTGAGTGATAGAAAGCCAGAATGGGTCTGTTAAGTGGGAAGCAGACAGAACCTGTAGACAGAACAGCCACTGCTGGTTTCATGACACTCAATGTGGCACCAAAAGGATACACAAAGGTGAGAGCCCTGTAAGAAATTAAAGAAACACATTCAAATTTTAAAAATACGAATACAAAAATTCTGAAAATAATCTCAATGTTTCTTCAGTAACACGCTTTTTTGAAACAGTCTCACTCTGTCACCCAGGCTGCAGTGCAGTGGTGTGATCTTGGCTCACTGCAGCCTCCGCCTCCCAGGTTTAAGTTGTTCTCCAGTCTCAGTGCCTGCTATCACGCCCAGCTAATTTTTGTATTTTTAGTAGAGCCAGAGTTTTACCATGTTGGCCAGGCTGGTCTTGAACTCCTGGCCTCAAGTGATATGCCTGCCTCGGCCTCCCAAACTGCTGGGATTACAGGTGTGTGCCACTGCGCTCAGCCGAGTAACACTCTTTGATTCATTATCAAACAAAATTTTTTCTAAGCTTTGGTTTGTTAACTTAAAAACTGGGACAACTCTAGCTACACATTTAATAAAGCATTTTAACAAACATGAAAGTAAATTCATAGGAAAGTGGAAATGACTGTTACTGGGAGAACTAAACTAGCCCCTGATGGAGGAAGGAGGAAAAGGATGGGGCCTCATCCAAGAACTGAACTCCAGCTGCTCTGCATAATAACATCTTAGTGGTAAATACATTCTTCTTCCTTGGGTTTGGCTGGTGCTATATCTAAGAATGAATGTCTGTCACTGGAAGGGCATGTTACCAGTTGAATGTCACATGGACAGAGGCATAAATATACGCTACGATGGACACTTCTACACAGATCTGCTTTGCAGTCCCTTCTACTCTCCACTGTCCTAACAAAGACTTGTCTTAGATTATCTAGAGTGAATTGGTCTGACCTGGGGCGATGTACTCCTGGAGAGGGTGTGGGATAGAGGAGCAAAGGCGCGGTGCAGATCCTGGGGTAAGGCCAACCCATGCAGGAGGGGCTAGGGTTTTACTGAAAGATGGAGCTCTGCAAAGCTTGAAGGAAGTGCTCTCAGAATGGAGAGAAACAGAGATCTCAAGACCAGAGCATAAGGTTAGAAACATGGAAGCACCCATGAGGAGTACCTCATAAAGATTTTAATTTCCCTTTTTCTTTAGACCACAAAAATTCTTTTTAGCTTAAGTTTAAAATTATTTCCCTCCAGTGATTTTGTTTGATTGTTTTGTTTTGTTTTTTTATCTCACTTTGTTGCCCAGGCTGGAGTGCAGTGGCATGAACATGGCTCACTGCAGCCTCAATCTCCTGGGCTCAAGCGATTCTCTTGCCTTAGCGCCCTGAGTAGCTGGGACCACAGGTGCATGCCACTACACCAACTAATTTTTATATTTTTTGTAGAAACAGGGTTTCGCCATGTTGCCCAGGCTGGTCTTGAACTCCTGAGCTCAGGCAATCTGCCCACTTTGACCTACCAAAGTGCTGGAATTACAAGCGTAAATCACTGGGCCCGGTCTGCCTCCGGTGTTAATCTTCCCCATTCCTTCAGTAAAGTCTCATCTACCCTATGACTTTGTTATCATACCATGAAAGAGAAGTGGTACCTGGCCCACATTCTCCAAACTCCGCCTTCTACCCTTACTTCAGCAGTATCCCAGCAAGGTGGATTACAGCCCACGATCTCTGGGCCAGAAGTAGAAGAAAACAAGCAGTTGTCCATGGAGAAAGAAAAGGGAGGGGGGAGAAATAGTCATATGGAGGTCAACATACATCTATCCCCAACACTTTCCCCAAATGCAATCAATGGAAAGTGATTCTCAAGGCATAAGGGAGAATGGACACTTGAGAAGTAAGATAAAAACTATCCGCTATTATTATTATTATTATTTTGAGATGGAATTTTGCTCTTGTCGCCCAGGCTAGAGTGCAATGGCGCAATCTCAGCTTACAGAAACCTCTGCCTCCCGGGTTCAGGCAATTCCCAACCCTCAGCCTCCCAAGTAGCTGAGATTACAGGCGCGCACCACCACGCCCAGCTAATTTTTGTATTTATAGTAGAGATGGGGTTTCACCACGTTGGTCAGGCTGGTTTCAAACTCCTGACCTCAGGTGATCCACCTGCCTCAGCCTCCCAAACTGCTGGGATTACAAGTGTGAGCCACTGTGCCTGGCCTATCTGCTATTATTTACACTCCTCTATTTCTTTTTTTTTTTTTTTTTTTTTTTTTTGAGACGGAGTCTCGCTGTGTCGCTCAGGCTGGAGTGCAGTGGCCGGATCTCAGCTCATTGCAAGCTCCGCCTCCCGGGTTTTTACGCCATTCTCCTGCCTCAGCCTCCCGAGTAGCTGGGACTACAGGCGCCCGCCACCTCGCCCGGCTAGTTTTTTGTATTTTTTAGTAGAGACGGGGTTTCACCGTGTTAGCCAGGATGGTCTCGAACTCCTGACCTCGTGATCCGCCCGTCTCGGCCTCCCAAAGTGCTGGGATTACAGGCTTGAGCCACCGCGCCCGGCCACTCCTCTATTTCTTTAATTACTACAAAAAAATCAATGAGACTAGGCCAGGCACAGTGGCTCACACCTGTAATCTCAGCACTTTGGGAGGTTGAGGCAGATGGATCACCTGAGGTTAGGAGTTCAAGATCAGCCTGGCCAACATGGTGAAGTTCTGTCTGTACTCAAAATACAAAAGTTAACCAGGTGTGGTGACGGGCATCTGTAATCCCAGCTACTCAGGAGTCAAGAGAATTGCTTGAACCCAGGAAGCAGAGGTTGCAGTGAGATGAGATGGTGCCATTGCACTCCAGCCTGGGCGAAACTCTGTCTCCAAAAAAAAAAAGAAAGAAAAAAAAGAAATCAATGAGACTGACATTTTGATAAGACTTAGTATAAACTTAAACACCCATTCCCCAAACAGAACTTTCCAAACCACATGTGAATGAGTAAGATTAGCTCACTGAAAAGTTTCAGAAAGAGTTTTCCTAAAAGAGGGACTAGCTTGTGTAAAGTCCCTAAGATGAGTACGAGCTTCGCTTATTTAAGGATTGAAAACAAAGTCAGTATGGCTACAGCAGAGTGAGAGAAGGGAGAAGGGACATAACAGGAAATAAGGATAAAGGAGAATCTGAGACTCCAACAGGCAAAGATACTTCAAAGCACGATGGAGGACTAGTCCATCTCTCAAAGCCTACCAGGAAGCTGTGTTTCCTGGATAATCCAGGAAAGGAACAACTAGACACATTCCCTTCACTATAATTAATTACAAAGTCATATGCAACAACAGGTAGGGTACTATGCTTTAAACTTTACAAAGCACTTTCACAAATATCACCTCACTGAAATTTTCCAACGATTTTGTAATGTTAACATTGTCCCCATTACACAGATAGGGAAACAGACACTAACAGTTACTATGCCTTGGGTCACCCTTGGCAAGTAAGAGAGGGAATCAGGAACTTCTAATAATTCCTTCTAACTCCAAGTCTACAGTTTTTTTTACCTATACCAATTGGATGAGCTGATACAAAGTGAAATAATTAGATTGATTCCTTTTTTTTTTTTTTTTTTTGAGACGGAGTCTCGCTCTGTCGCTCAGCTCACTGCAAGCTCTGCCTCCCGGGTTTACGCCATTCTCCTGCCTCAGCCTCCCGAGCAGCTGGGACTACAGGCGCCCGCCACCTCGCCCGGCTAGTTTTCTGTATTTTTTAGTAAAGACGGGGTTTCACCGTGTTAGCCAGGATGGTCTCGATCTCCTGACCTCGTGATCCGCCCGTCTCGGCCTCCCAAAGTGCTGGGATTACAGGCTTGAGCCACCGCGCCCGGCCTTTTTTTTTTTTTTTTTTGTTGAGATGGAGTCTTGCTCTGTCGCCCAGGCTGGAGTGCAGTGGCGCGATCTTGGCTCACTGCAAGCTCCGCCTCCCGGGTTCACACCATTCTCTTGCCTCAGCCTCCCAAGTAGCTGGGACTAAAGGTGCTCGCCATCACGCCCAGCTAATTTTGTTTTTTGTTTTTGTTTTTGTTTTGTTTTGAGACAGGGTTTCACCATGCTAGCCAGGCTGGTCTCTAACTCCTGACCTCGTGATTCTCCCGCCTCGGCCTCCCAAAGTGCTGGGATTACAGGTATGAGCCACTGCACTCAGCCTAGATTGATTCTTGACAGTCAAAAATATTAACTATGAATTATATTGCTACACATATTCCCCCTTATGACTTGACTTTGGTTTCTACTAAGAAAGGTCTTCCCTACTTCAAGAATTTAAAATATTCACCTACTTTTTTTAAGTACTTTTTTTTTTTTCTGAGTTGGTTGTCTCGCTCTGTCACCCAGGCTTAAGTGGTGCGATCTCAGCTCATTGCAACCTCCGCCTCCCGGGTTCAAGCAATTCTCCTGCCTCAGCCTCCCGAGTAGCTGGGATTACAGGTTTGTACCACCACATCTGGCTAAGTTTTGTATTTTTTAGTAGAGATGGGGGTTGGCCAGGCTCGTCTTGAACTCTTAACCTCAGGTGATCTGCCTGTCTCAGTCTCCCAAAGTGCTGGGATTACATGTGTGAGCCATCGTACCTGGGTTTCTTTAAGTACTTCTATGCTTTCTTTTTAAATTAAATTAAATTTAATTTAATTTTTATTTTATTTTTTCGAGATGGAGTCTTGCTCTGTTGCCCAGGCTGGAGCGCAGTGGTGCGATCTCGGCTCATGGCAACCTCTGCCTCCTGGGTTCAAGCAATTCTCCTGCCTCAGCTTCCTGAGTAGTTGGGATTACAGGCGTGCACCACCACACCAGGCTAATTTTTTTTTTTTTTTTTGAGACAGAGTTTCGCTCCTGTTGCCCAGGCCAGAGTGCAATGGCATGATCTTGGCTCAATGCAACTTCCACCTCCCGGGTTCAAGTGATTCTCCTGTCTCAGCTTCCTGAGTAGCTGAGATTACAGGTGCCTGCCACCATCCCTGGCTAATTTTGTATTTTTATAGAGATGGGGTTTCACCATGTTGGTCAGGCTGGTCTCAAATGCCTGATCTCAGGTGATCCGCCCACCTCAGCCTCCCAAAGTGTTGGGATTACAGGCGTGAACCACTGCACCCGGCCTAATTTTTGTATTTTTAGTACAGACAGGGTTTCACCATATTGGCCAGGCAGGTCTTGAACTCCTGACCTCATGATCCATCTGCCTCAGCCTCCCAAAGTGCTGGGATTACAGGCATGAGCCACCGCGGCCAGCATATGCTTTCATTTTTAATATTAAAAATTTTAGCCTATCCAGAATACATTTTGGGGTGTAGTATGAAAATGAAACTATTTCTCCAAATGGTTACCCAGAATTATGCCATCCATTTCTAATATTTGAAATGCCACTTTTACTATACACAAATAACCCCCACCCTCCATATATGTTTTTGGTCTAATTTTAATCTGTATTATTTATTTTCTTTCTTTTTTTTTTTTTTTTTTTTTTTTTTTTTTTTTTTTTTTTTTTTTTTTTTTGAGACGGAGTCTTGCTCTGTCGCCCAGGCTGGAGTGCAGTGGCCGGATCTCAGCTCACTGCAAGCTCCGCCTCCCGGGTTCACGCCATTCTCCTGCCTCAGCCTCCCGAGTAGCTGGGACTACAGGCGCCCGCCACCTCGCCCGGCTAGTTTTTTGTATTTTTTAGTAGAGACGGGGTTTCACCGTGTTAGCCAGGATGGTCTCGATCTCCTGACCTCGTGATCCACTCGCCTTGGCCTCCCAAAGTGCTGGGATGACAGGAGTGAGCTACCACACCCGGCTATAAAATTGTTTATAACAATAATACAGAACAGAAGTTAAGAGTGCAGGCTCTAGAATAGACTGCCTATGGTTGCATCTAAGTTCTGACACAGAGTAGTCATGTGCATTTGGGCAATTATGTCTCTGTATCTCATCTCTAACTTTCCAGAGTTGTAAGGATTAAATGAGGTAATACATGCCTGTCACACAGTCAATGTTTGACAAACATCAGGTGGTATTATTAAAGAAAAGCATTATAAACTACTTAAATGTCCAATAATAGGGAGTTGGTTAGATAAACTGGGATAGATCCAATTTAATCCAGTCATTAAAAAGGAAGAGGTACTTACCTATAACTTTATAAATGGAAAAAAAAACCCCTAGAAATCTAAATACTATATGGAGTATTGCTCTGTTGCCGAGGCTGGAGTGCAGTGGTGCAATCTGGGCTCACTGCAACCTCTGCCTCCCACCATGTTGCCCAAGCTGGTCTTGAACTCCTGAGCTCAAGTGATCTGCCTGCCTCAGCCTCCCAAAGTATTGGGATTACAGGGGTGAGCCACAGTAACCGGACCACATTATTTTCACTACTAAAACTTTGTAACATGCTTTAATTACATAAAAATGTCAATTTTTATTGGGTAAAATATTTCAAAGTATGGAGGCATTATAAATGAATGCAAAAAGACAAATCATCAATAGAAAAATGGCCAAAAAGCAGTGAACATGAAATTCACAGAAGAAATACAATCAGCCAGTAGACTTTAAAGGTCATCCTATGCACTAATAATTTTTAAAAATGCAAATTTAAAGAAACAGATACCATGTTTACTAGAATACTCCGTGCTGGCAAGAGAGGAAAAAGGGGTGTGCTCATAGGGACTGTAAGTGGTACCACCTCCCTGAGAGACATCTGGTAATACACTACATTTGGTAACCCATCTGTTGGAAGATCTCTGACCCAGAAATTTCAATGCTGAGAAATTTACCCTAAAAAATACTACCACAAGTGCACAAAACTGTACATACAAAGATGTTCACTTATCCCAGCACTTTGGGAGGCTGAGGCAGGTGGATTACCTGAGGTCAGGAGTTCAAGACTAGCCTGACTGACATGGTGAAACCCCATCTCTACTAAAAATACAGAAATTAGCTGGGTGTGGTGGTGGACACCTGTAATCCTAGCTACACGGGAGGCTGAGGCGGGAGAATCGCTTGAACTTGGGAGGTGGAGGTTGCAGTGAGCTGAGATTGTGCCACTGC